TCCTCTACACAAAACAATGACATAACGTTATCTGCTGTGCACTGAAGCTGGTTAAGAACAATGTGCCTCGTTTCAAATTGTCTTTCAACTTCATATCACACAGACGGAACTTCGAAAACGAGGCCACTGAGAGGGAGACTGTTGGTTACATTTCGAGACGAGCATTCGATTGTTAGTTCTTTGCTTCTATGAAAGTGGGTGAAAACAGTGAGTTTATTTGATATTTTGCTGAAATCGCTTGTGAACATAGACAAAATAAAAGGTGAAAATAGGCTGTAAAAATAGCCAGCCCGTCGGGCGGGTAATTTGCAAATCTTACCCGCCCGGCCTGAAAGTTACCAGCCTCGGGCTGGCGGGCAGGCGGCCATTTCATACACTGGTAGTATATTTTAGATCAAAAGGACTTTATCAAAATGCGTTGTCATCAATTAAGGAATAATAATAAGAATAGTCATTGACCATACAATGTACATGGCTAGTTAAATTTGCTTAATGCGCCATTAGTTTCTTACTCGTCTTTCATTCTATGCATGAGTTTTTTCGCGGTCTCTAGATAGGCTTATAAAACAGAATTATCCTTTACTTAAAGACTAGATAACACAAGTAAAACAGGACGATTCAGTCCACCACCACCTTGGTCACGTGAAAGGTGATTTTGCACCTTTGCTCTCCTCAGGGAATTATATCGGGTTCTCTGCTCTCCTGAAAAGCCATATTCAATAATACGACGTTGGAATACAGAGTTAACATGCAAAGTGATTGCAAAATACACAATTTGCTGTGGATAAAGCAACTTTACAGTACTAGTAGTGTTCACTGTGCTGCAATTTTCGTGCACTTGTACTGGTATACCTAATACTAGGTTGTTTGTTTTTGACATCATTGAAAATTGAATAAGAAGTGCATATAGTGGAATGTGTGGAGATGACATCCCAGTCTCCTTCATCGCATCGGAGTCAGCAACTGAGAGGCAAACCTTCTTCTCGTGCGAGGATCTCATTTACATTGCGGGTCTTGTTTTGTTAGTTGGGCCTGTCTTGGGGGCACTGGTTGCCTAGGTGGCGGTATCTTTGTCAACACAACGTCAACACCCAAGAACTTCAGCGCGTGCAGCATGGTCTCCCCTGGAAGCACACTGAAATAAGAAAATAAAATCAAACCGATGTATCATGACACAGATAATGGCATCACCCTGCTAGCCATTGCTTCCTGATAACTCTCTCCAGTGAAACCATATGTCCCCCCCCCCCAATTTATTAGTGCATAGATTTAAAAGACATTTAAGTTACCACTCAGAACCTCCGGCTGTCATATACCAAGGGGATAAGGCTAGTCACTACATGTGTGTACCCTGCATTTATATGCCTTAAAATAAAACAAAGTACTGCATTCCGAGCACGTTTATTTACAGTGCTACTAGTAGCTCAAAGCATGCTGAAAATGTTGCCATTCACCAGCCAATATTTTTTTAGAAAATTCCCCTATGCAGAATCACAAATCAATCAAAACTGTAACCTTTTCTGATTTTCTTTTCTAGCAGATACACTGTACAATTACCTGATGTCGTCCTTCCATATGTATCACAATCATTACCATTAAAATAGACAAATTAACAAATGTAATTGAATATTATATCTGATCTTCTATGATGACTAATGAAGTAATTAAAAAACAATAACCAATTAATTTGATTGCAGATAACAGAAAGCAGAGTAAGAGACTTTGTAAACTAGAGGATCAGAGAGGCGATACCGCCTCCGGATATTGTACCACCAGCTGGAGTAAGCGCATTCGTATGGACCCCCCCCCCCTCCAAAAAGGGACACCATCACCAGTCTTGTGCTTGACAAGCTCTATAAGATGCAATCAATAAGAGTTCTCAAAATATGCAAAAAAATATAACTAAAAATGGTACAATCAAGCAGATTTTCGAATTGACTTGCATTTTCCTACCCTTGATCACTCCTGTATTCTCTAGACAAAAGGCCTATTGGTTTTCCTTGAAAAGTGTTGTCAATGGTGCATATATGCTGACAAAAGAGAAAACCTAGGGGCAACAAGGGGCACATCTCTGCTAGTTTTAAAGATATGAGAGGCAAGAAAATATGCAAAGCTCAGTTCATGGTGAAAAAGTAGGTCAAAGGTCAATTTCAATATCATAGTATATGAATTTCTATTCAAGTTCAATAGCAACCATGGG